ACCCAAAGACATACACAGACTAAAAGTGAAAGGATGGAAAAAGATATTTCATGAAACTAACACAGAGAAAAAATCAGGAGTTGCAGTTCTTGGATCAGACAAAATAGACTTCAAAACAAAGAAAGTCACAAGAGACAAAGAAGGACAATACATAATGATAAAGGGGTCAATCCGAAAAGGAGATATAACCATTATAAATATCTATGCTCTCAACACAGGAGCACCCACATATGTGAAACAAATACTAATTGAATTAAAAGGGGAAATAGAATGCAATGTATTCATTCTAGGAGACTTTTAACACTCCACTCACTCTGAAGGACAGATCAATGAGATAGAAGGTAAGTAAGGAGACAGAGGCACTGAACAACACAATAGAACAGATAGCCCAACAGACATCTACAGAACTCTACACCCAAAAGCAACAGAATACACATTCTTCTCAAGTGCACATGGAACATTTTCAAGAATAGATCATATACTAGGTCACAAAAAAAGCCTCAGTAAATTCAAAAAGCTGGAAATTGTACCAACCAGTTTCTCAGACCACAAAGGTATGAAACTAGAAATAAATTACGAAAAAAAAAAAAAGAAAAGTCCCACAAACACATGGAGGCTTCACAACATGCTCCTAAATAACCAATGGGTCAAAGACCAAATAAAAACAGAGATCAAGCAATATATGGAGACAAGTGACAACAATAATTCAACACCGCAATAACCCACCACTGCGTCTGTGGAACACAGCCAAGGCCATGCTAAGAGGAAAGCATATTGCAATACAGGCCTACCTCAGGAAAGAAGAACAATCCCAAATAAACAGTCTGAACTCAGAATTAATGAAACTAGTAAAGGAAGAACAAATGTGGCCCAAAGTCAGTAGAAGGATGGACATAGTAAAGAGTACAGCAGAAATAAATACAATTGAGAAGAATAGAAAGAATCAATGAAAACAGAAGCTGGTTTTTCGAGAAAATGAACAAAATAGATAAACCATTAGCCAGACTTATCAAGAAAAAAAGACACTCTACACACATAAAAAGAATCAGAAATGAGAAAGGAAAAATGACACCACAGAAATACAAAGAATTATTAGAGAAGACTATGAAAAATTATATGCTAACAAACTGGATAACCAAAAGAAATGGACAATTTTCTAGAAAAATACAACATTCCAAGGCTGACCCGGCCCGAAACAGAAAATCTGAATAGACCAATTACCAGCAAAGAAATTAAATTGCTAATCAAAAAACTACCTAAGAAAACACCTGGACCAGATGGTTTCACTGCTAAATTTTATCAAACATTTAGTGAAGATCTAATAACCATCCTCCTTAAGGTTTTCCAGAAAGTAGAAGAGGAAGGAATACTACCAAACTCATTCTATGAGGCTAACATCAGTCTAATACCAAAACCAGGCAAAGACACCACAAAAAAAGAAAATTACAGACCCATATGCCTGATGAACATAGATGCAAAAGTACTCAATAAATATTAGCAAGTCGAATTCAAAAATACATAAAAAAATCACCCGTCATGATCAAGTGGGATTCATCCCAGGGATGCAAGGATGGTACAACATTCGAAAATCCATCAACATCATCTACTATGTCAACAAAAAGAAGGACAAAAACCACATGATCATCTCCACGGAGGCTGAAAAAGCATTTGACAAAATTCAACATCCAATCATGATAAAAACTCTGAACAAGATGGGTAAAGAGGGCAAGTACTTCAACATAATAAAGGCCAAATATGACAAACTCACAGCCAACATTATTCTTAACAGCAAGAAACTGAAAGCTTTTCCTTTAAGATTGGGAACAAGACAAGGATGCCCACTCTCCACACTTTTATTCAACATAGATCTGTAGGTCCTAGCCATAGCAATCAAACAACACAAAGAAATAAAAGGCATCCAGATTGGCATGGAAGAAGTCAAACTGTCCCTGTTTGCAGATGACATATTGTACAGAAAAAACCCTAAAGAATCCACTCCAAAACCAGTAGATCTAATATCTGAATTCAGCAAAGCTGCAGAACAAAAATAATACACAGAAATGTTGCATTCCTATACACTAACGATGAACTACCAGAAAGAGAAATCAGGAAAACAACTCCATTCACAAGTGCATCAAAAAGAATGAAATACCTAGGAATAAACCTACCAAGGAAGTAAAAGACCTATTCCCTGAAAACTACAAGACATTCTTAAGAGAAATAAAAGAGGACACTAATAAATGCAAATTCATCCCATGCTCGTGGTTAAGAAGAATATTATCAAAATAGCCATCCTGCCTAAAGCAATCTACAGGTTCAATGCAATCCCTATCAAAATACCTACAGCATTATTCAATGAACTAGAACAAAGAGTTCTAAATTCATATGGAATGACAAAGACCCCAACTATTCAAGGCAATCCTGAGAAGGAATAAAGCAAGGGGAATAATGCTCCCTGACTTCAAGCTCTACTACAAAGCCACAGTAATCAAGATAATTTGGTACTGGCACATGAACAGACCCATACAGCAGTGGAACAGAATAGTGGAACAGAACAAAAGCATATATGGTCAATTACTATATGATAAAGGAGCCATGGACATACAATGGGGAAGTGAGAGCCCCTTCAACAGCTGGTGTTGGCAAAACTGGACACCTACATGTAAGAGAATGAAACTGGATTACTGTCTAACCCCATACACAAAAGTAAACTCAAAATGGATCAAACTCCTGAATATAAGTCATGAAACCATAAAACTCTTAGAAAAAAATATAGGCAAAAGTCCCTTGGACATAAACATGAGCAACTTTTTCATGAACATATATCCCTGGGCAAGGGAAACAAAAGCAAAAATGAACAAGTGGGACTATATCCAACTAAAAAGCTTCTATACAGCAAAGGACACCATCAACAGAACAAAAAGGCATCCTACAGTATGGGAGAATATATTCATAAATGACAAATCCTATAAGGGGTTAACATCCAAAATATATAAAGAGCTCATGCACCTCAACAAACAAAAAGCAAATAAGCCAATTAAAAAATGGGCAGAGGAGCTGAACAGACAGTTCTCCAAAGAAGAAATTCAGATGGCCAACAGACACATGAAAAGATGATCCACATCACTAATCATCAGAGAAATGCAAATTAAAACCACATTGAGATATCACCTCACACCAGTTAGGATGGCCAACATCCAAAAGCTAAACAACAACAAATGTTGGTGAGGATGTGGAGAAAGGGCAACTCTCCTACACTACTGGTGGGAATGTAAACTACTTCAACCATTGTGGAAAGCAGTATGGAGGTTCCTCATAAAACTCAAAATAGAAATACCATTTGACCCAGGAATTCCACTCCTAGGAATTTACCCTAAGAATGCAGGAGCCAAGTCTGAAAAAGACATATGTACTCCTATGTTTATCGCAGCACTATTTACAATAGCCAAGAAATGGAAACAACCTGAGTGTCTATCAGTAGATGAATGGATAAAGAAGATGTGGGACATATATACAATGGAGTATTATTCATACATAAGCGGAAAACAAATCCTACTATTTGCAACAACATGGATGGAGCTAGTGGTTAATATGCTCAGTGAAATAAGCCAGGCAGAGAAAGACAAATATCAAATGATTTCACTCATCTGTGAAGTATAAGAACAAAGGAGAAACTGAAGGATCAAAATAGCAGCGGACTCACAGAATCCAAGAATGCACTAACAGTTACCAAAGGGAAGGGACTGGGGAGGATGGCTGGGAAGAGAGGAATAAGGGGGGAAAAGGGGCATTACGATTAGCACACATAATGTTGGGTGGGTGGAACTGGGACAGCAGTACAACACAGAGAAGATAGGTAGTGATTCTATAGCATCTTATTACGCTGATGAATAGTGACTGGAATAGGGTATGTGGGGGGTACTTGATGATAGGGGAAGTCTAGTATCCATAATGTTGTTTAAGTAATTTTACGATAATGATACAAAAAAAAAAAAGACATCCAGATTGGTAAGGAAGAAGTTAAACTCTCACTGTTTGCAGATGACATGATATTATACACAGAAAACCCTAAAAACTCCACCAAAATGCTACTAGAATAACAGAATTCAGCAAAGTTGCAGGATACAAAAAAATACACAGACATCTTTTGCATTTCTATACACTAATGATGAACTAGCAGAAAGAGAAATTAGGAAAACAACTCCATTTACAATTGCATTAAAAAGAAAAAAATACCTAGGAATAAACCTAACTAAGGAAGGGAAAGACCTATACCCTGAAAACTACAAGACATTCATGTGAGTAATAGACACCAAAAAGTGGAAAAGAAAATTCTCTCCATTTTATAAGTATAGAAGGGTCTGCTTTTCTATTTGTACCTTTCTGACACACTCATGTCAACTTTGATGAATATTTGTTGGGTACTATTTCTAAACACGAATTTAAGGTTTAAATACATGTATGTTCTCACAAATGAAAGAATTCTTTCCTTTGAGCAAACAGAGAACATTATGTTGAAAGCAAAGTGGGGAGACACTGAGGTTACTGAGATGAGTAAGATAACTCAAGAGAAGATTTCTATCTAATATCTGAGGAACTCATCTCAGTAAAAAAGTTGAATGCCTAAACCTAATTTACAATCCTTCAAAACAACTAGGAACATAGTAAAAAAGGAAAAATATTCAAGAATTTTATACCTTTAAACCTAAATCAGTGTTCTAAGTGTTAATCATTTTCTATTAAAATTACTCTGTGATATTAATAATAGTTTAATCTTGTAATTCCCCAAAAATAGATACAAGAATTCTAAGGTGTTATATTTTGTGTTGCACTGAAATAATGTTTATTTCTTGAAAATCATGAAGTTGGAATTTAGATTTCACTGAAAAGATTTTTTGTATCCGCTACATAACGATATATTTTTTAAGTGTCCTGAAAATACTATCTCAAAAAGAAATCACTTGGAAAATAAGCTATATTTAAAGGAAATGTTAATTTACCTCTTCGGATTTCTTCTTTAGCTGTTTTTCAAACTTTTCCTTATTTCCCTCCAACTGATTCAAATGCAAGGCAAGTTCTTTCTTGCAAATTTCCAATGCTGAATCTAGTTGTCTGACCTAAAAAAGAAAAGAAAAATCAACTAATACTAATTAATGTGTTATATACTCAATATTTAACAAATTTATCTCCTAATGTTACCAGAGCTTCAAACACAGTCCAACTTAGGATACAAAATGCTGTTAGAGATTTATTTAGAAAACTAATTTTTCATTGTAAACCAGAAGCCAGAGACTGTGATTCTGAAGAATAAAAATTTAAGAACAAGTCAAGACGGGCATTCCAGGAAAAGGGAGCTTGTTCAGAGACAAGACACTGTGAGAGGGAATGGTGAGAGGTTGGCAGGAGGCAAGGGTATGAAGAGTATGAATTTGTAGGAGATAGGCTTTTAAAGATCAGACTGGCAAGACAGACTGGGGTCAATTGCCAAGAACCTCATTTAAGGTTGGCCAAGCACACCAAAACATTTACCTAAATTACAGGTAAGCAGTATTTAAGCCTACTACTTAAGTTGCCTTGAAAAAAAATAATAATGTGAGCACAAATTGGTGTATTGTGGTAATGATGGTATGGTGTTCATATTCTGAATATGCAAAAGTCACTAAGAAAATAAAAATGTCTTTGTCAGCTAGGAATACAAACTCAGGAGGAGACTGCTTTTACTTCGATCAGTGAAAACTATCAGAAAGGCAGCAATGTAACTTGGTTCAAGTGTTCATACAGTTTCAAATGCTTTCTGCTACCTTAATATTAAAAGGCAAATGAGCAAAGTGCAATTTTAATTCAGTATTTTTGTCAAAAAACTAGTTCAAGGGACACAATTTGCACACATGTTCCATACCCTATCTGCTAATAAGATTCCTGGCTTCCTCCTTTCTTTTCCTTAGTGTAATCTTGAGCTTCTCAGGAATGTTTCTCTTCTCAATGCTAATAGCATTCTAGTAAGCAGAATGAAAGTGAGAAAGAAATCTCAACAAGATTAGGAGAAAAAGAATAACTTTCCCTCTCGCAGATACTATTCTACATCATGAAATTATCCTTGAAACTCTTATTTTAAAAGAGAATTTTGAAAGTTTTGGAAGATTGTCCCTACAGCCTGTGACTATAACCATTATCAACTATAGTTTGTAATTTTGAATGATCACCTTTGTTAATAAACTGTTGTCCAAGTAATAATTTTTAAATTAAAATTTGTTTTACAGAAAGCATAAATACTTTTAAGTTTTTTCTTAAGCAGGAGAATGAGTGTTGATACTTGCGTAATCTTCCACACACAGAGAAAAAATAAAAATTATGACTGTCAGAATATCATATCCAATAATTAAAATGTAAAAACTCATTCAGGCAAGATCCCTTTCTAGGTATTAAACCCATTAGCTATAAGGTTGTTGAGAAACAGGATATTTGTATAGCCTCAAAGAGTCACCCAAGCTTTATTAATTGTATGTTTTTTAAAATGGTGAGATCTGGCAGTAACCACCTTAAACGAGATATCAAGACTGGCAATGCTATTAGTGGGGTGGTCTGATATTATCTGCCTCCTAATGTGAAGCAGTGGAGGAACACAGTATAGCCCATGTGATGTTCCGCTGAAGTAGACTTTTCAAAATATTCAGTGTCATGAATAACAGAAAGAATGAGTTTACGGAAATATAAAAAGCCAAATGCAACATAAATTATAACTGAATCCTAGACAGAGGAAAGAAAAGGAACAAGCTAAAGTAGTGTTCCTCAAGGTTTTAAAGGGCATACAAATTTCCTGGACACCCCATTGAAATAGATTCTGATTCAGTAACAGGGCCAGGACTGGAGTAAGGCATAAGAGGTGCCTAAGGCTAAAATTTAAGGAGTCACTCACTCTTAGGGTAATGCAAGTGATGACCCTTCACTTATAAGGCGCTGAAAGTAAACACCATCTTAAATTTTGCAGCAGAGCCACCTCACTTGCTTAACCATAGCCCCAGCTCTGGTCGGTAGGTCTGCAGCATAGCAGATATTCTGAAGTCACACAAGCTCCTGGGTGATACTAATGCTGTTAGTCCAGAGCTATGCTGTGGGTAGAAAGGCTATAACAGTATTTTTAAATAATGGGAAAATTTCAGGATGGATGGTGAACGATGTTAACATGATTCCATAGGAGAAACTGCCTGTTCACAGGAGATGCAAATTTAAGTATTAAGGGTGTAAAGTGTTATGACATCAGCTACCTTCTCTCAGTTGTTCTGGCAAAAAGAAACTGTGAGTCGGAGTGGACTGGGTAGGTGCACACACAGTGGGCATGCCCACTGTGGGTACAGAAAAAGATGAAGTAAATATAGCTAAAGTTGAATAGGCAGTGAATCTAGATGAGAGGATCACAGATGTTCACTGTACTGTTCTTAAAATTTTTTGTGTATTTGAAACTTTAAAAAATAAATTTAATAAATTTAAACTAATTTTTATGATTAGTAATTACTAATTACTAATAAGTAATTCATAAAAAAACAAAACATCTACTACTCTGTTGGATTCCTTAGGTGAACAAAGAGTTTGAGAATCTTCAAATATACATGTATATGTAAATATATGAATGAGAGAAATCAAAACAAAGACACTGCTCTGTTGAAACAAAGAACCTCCTCAGACGCACAGTCTCCGGACAAAAAGGGAGGGGCTCTAGGCTACCTATCTTCACCAAAAGCAGCTAGGCACTGCATTTTTTCTATATTTTTTTCCACTTATGATTTGTACTGGGAGGAAACAAAAAGAATCAGAGTGAAAAATAAAAGCAAGACAAAGAATTTTAAAAATCTCTACATCTAACTAAATAAGCATCTTCTCAGTTTTCTACTTAACAGCAGGTAACATAATTACTTCATTTATTGATGATTCCTTGTTGCTTGTTCAGAATTTTGCCATCACTCTTCTAGATCTCAAACTTTTATAGATGATATAACTTTAAACTGACTCTTCTAACTGTTGCAGAAAGAAAATCCATATATATATATTTTTGGTACCATTAATGTACAATTACATGAGCAACATTATGATTACTACATTCCCCCCATTATCAAGTCCCCACTATATAGCCTATTACAGTCACTATCCAACAGCATAGTAAGATGCTATAGAATCACTACTTATCTTCTCTGTGTTGTACTGCCATCCCCATGCTACCCACCAAACATTATGTGTGCTAATCGTAATGCCCTGTTTTCCCCCTTATCCCTTCCTTCCCACCCATCCTCCCCAGTACCTTTCCTTTTGGTAACTGTTAGTCCATTCTTGGGTTCTGTGTTTCTGCTGCTGTTTTGATCCTTCAGTTTTGCTTTGTTCTTATATTCCACAGATGAGTGAAATCATTTGATACTTGTCTTTCTCCACCTGGCTTATTTCACTGAGCATAATACCCTCTAGCTCCATCCATGTTGTTGCAAATGGTAGATTTGTTTTCTTCTTATTGCTGAATAATATTCCATTGTGTATATGTCCCACATCTTCTTTATCCATTCATCTACTGATGGACAATTTGGATGCTTTCATTTCTTGGCTATTGTAAATAGTGCTGCAATAAACATAGGGGTACATATGTCTCTTTCAAAACTGGCTCCTGCGTTCTGAGGGTAAATCATAGGAGTGAAATTCCTAGGTCAAACGGTATTTCTATTTTGAGTTTTATGAGGAACCTCCATACTGCTTTCCACAATGGTTGAAGTAGTTTACATTCCCACCAGTAGTGTAGGAGAGTTGCCCTTTCTCCACATCCTCACCAACATTTGTTGTTGTTTAGCTTTTGGATGTTGACCATCCTAACTGGTGTGAGGTGATATCTCATTGTGGTTTTAATTTGCATTTCCTTGATAATTAGCGATGTGGAACATCTTTTCATGTGCTTGTTGGCCATCTGAATTTTGTCTTTGGAGAAGTATCTGTTCAGACTCTCTGTCCATTTTTTAATCGGATTATTTCCTTTTTGGTGTTGTGGCATGTAAGGTCTTTATATATTTTAGATGCTAACCCCTTATCGGATATGTCGTTTATAAATACATTCTCCTATACTGTAGGATGTCTTTTGTTCTGCTGATGGTGTCTCTGCTGTACAGAACCTTTTTAGCATGATGTAGTCCCATCTGTTCATTTTTTATTTTGTGTCCCTTGCCCGGGGAGATATGTTCAGGAAAAAGCTGCCCAAGTTTATATTTAAGATATTTTTGCCCATATTTTCTCCTAAGAGTTCTATGGTTTCATTACTTACTTTCAGGTCTTTGATCCATTTTGAGTTTACTTTTGTGTATGGGGTTGGAAAACAGACCAGTTTTATTCTCTTGCACGTAGCTGTCCAGTTCTGCCAACACCAGTTTGTTGAAGAGGCTGTCATTTCCCCATTGTATATCCATGGCACCTTTACCATATATTAGTTGACCATATACACATGGTTTTATATCTGGGCAATCTAGTCTGTTCCACTGGTCTATGGTTCTGTTCTTGTGCCAGTACCAAATTGTCTTAATTACTGTGGCTTTGTAGTATAGCTTGAAGTTGGGAAGCGAGATCCCCCCTGTTTTAGTATTCCTTCTCAGGATTGCTTTGGCTATTTGGGGTCTTTTGTGGTTCCATATGAATTTTAGAGTGATTTGCTCTAGTTTGTTGAAGAATACTGTTGGTGTTTTGATAATGATTGCACTGAATCTGTAGATTGCTTTATGCAGTATGGTCATTTTTGACAATGTTAATTCTTCCTACTGATAAGCATGGGATATGTTTCCATTTATTGGTATCTCCTTTAATTTCTCTCATGAGTGTGTTGTACTTTTCAGAGTATAGGTCTTTCACTTCCTTGGTGAAGTTTATTTCTAGGTATTTAATTATTTTTGATGCAATTGTGAATGGAATTGTTTTCTTGATTTCTCTTTCTGCTGGTTCATTGTTAGTATATAGGAAGGCAACAGATTTCTGTGTATTAATTTTGTATCCTGCCTCTTTGCTGAATTCTGATATTAGATCAAGTAGTTTTGGAGTAGATTCTTTACGGTTTCTTACATACAAATATTATGTCATCTGCAAACAGGGGCAATTTCTT